TAGGTGAGTTGAATTACTTATTTTTCAAATTGTGATTTTTGTGTATGGTTTAACTGTCTTCCTTTCCTTCAGACATTGTGCACGTTTCTTCTTTGATCCACCCTTCTTACACAAATGGTATGATCGGATGCATTATGTTTATGATGTATATATGGAGGCCTTCTGCTATAATCCATCGATCAAGACGATATTGGCACGCATCATCGAATGGGGTAGGTGGGAGGAGTCTCTATCCGAGAATGATGATGTTTTGAAAGCAAATGAAGAATTCAGAAATGATAAAATGGCTACTGATCCTGGAAACATGTTTTATAAACCTCACGAGCCGAATGTAGGGATGATTAAATACTTTGTCAACATTTTCAAACATTTGCATTCTGATCTCCCACATACGCAGGTCAGCTTTACTTATCATGTATTTTAATAAAGGAAAAGCATTATAAAGCATTATTTCAAGTAGTTTTTCAGTTAAGAATTGTTGAATACTGTTTGCTGCTGTTCTTTGTTTGGCAACATGTTGGCTGTTGATGATGGATTTGGTTGATTGTGATAAGATTAAGAATTAGATGACCAGAGTGAGGTTCTTACTTGAAATGGTAGAGTATAGATGAAAGGTAGTGAAAGGAATATTTAAAGAATGAAATTAAAAAACCCTGAATTTTTAGCAAGTTCTTTTAATAAAAGATAGGATGGCTCTAATGTATTAATTTGTGTCTTAACTTTTCTCTTTTAGAAGGTTCAAGTCTCTGATGTTTCAAGGGGCAGAGCTGTTTCAAGGGGCGGAGCTATTTCGAGGGGCAGAGGCAGAGCTGTTTCAAGGGGCAGAGCTGTTTCAAGGGGCAGAGCTGTTTCAAGGGGCAGAGCTGTTTCAAGTGCCCCCGCCCCAAATCCTATTCCTCCAAATCCGACTTCTGTTGATGTTTTGGAGTCAATTATTGAGAAGAGATTAAATGTATCTGGTTATGCTTACATGGCAGTTAATGAGTACCTGAAAACGCATTCGTAAGTATTATGGAAATAATTATTTATAATCTTATTGGGATAACTATATTAATATTTTTTCATGCCATCTACAGGCAGGATGTGGCAGAGTTTTCTGAAAGGATACTATCCTGGCGACCGCTTGGATTATAAGGTATTCCAACATCATTATTGTCAACTTATTACACTGACCAGAATGATATTTTCTTTTTCTGACCATGATTTTCTCCATTAGAGATTTACAGCAGCTTACTTTTGGATCAAAGGAAGATTCAAGTTGTTTCTATGATTGGACTTATCCGAGAGAGTGTGCCAACTACTTTTTCAGCACTCGCTGATGGTTGTTCATCGTGCAGGTTATTGTTATAGCATTGATTGATATTATGTTGCAGAATGGTTGATTTGGCCAATCCTTTCCTTTTCTTTAGGCTTGCTTTTCTGGTGTTTTGCATTGAAGACAGTTGACTATATTTTTGTGTCTGTTCTTTAGTTGTAGAGGGCTGCTTTGTGATGAGGTGTCCTTGTGTAAAGAAGTTAAGTTTGTGAAGTGTTGTGAGAGGTAGGGTACTCTTTTTATGAATAAAATTACCCCCTTTTTTTTCATTTAAAAAAATTAGTCCAAAAGTTGCTTCAATTCGTCATGGCTTTGCTGCTTTTTTTAAGGGCAGAAGGTGCAAATTAAACTCCATACTTTTTGAGTTGAAGCAAACTAGCAAAAAAAAAAAAAGAAAAAAGAAAAAAAAAAGTTGAAGTAAATGGCTACCTCAAATTTTTATTTTAAAGAAATTGGTCTCTGTTAAACCATTGGTTTAGAAGTTTAATAAAAAGTTAACTATAATTATTATATTTAGATCGAATTTTTTTAAAAATAAAATTTTGAGGTGATAATTTGCTTGAATTTTCTTTTTAGTAGTTAATTTGCTTCAATTCAAAAATAATTGAAGGGAGGGAGGATTTGCATATTTGGTCTTTTCTTATTACATAATTTTCTCATTTCCAATGTTAATGTTTTAATGATCAAAGGCTTTTTCTAACTCATGGCCTTAAAAATTACAAAGTTAAAGTCGGTTTCCATGTCTAACAAGCCTTCTTGGTTTTTCTTTCTCCCTTTCTCTTCAAGACAATAGATTGGTAAGTGCTTTTCGGTGGGTGGTGCCGCAGTCACTCCATCAAGAAACTAATACCTAATTAAATTGTACCTGATATACACAATTCTAACGTGACAACGAAATCTGAAAATAACTACAAGCTGCGACCGATTATTTGTTTGTCATCTTTATAAACCTAGTTAAAATGAAACCGAGATGTGATGATTAAATTTTCAGTAATAGCAACAAACAATTGAACCAACACTAGGATCTAAACTAGTTTTGGAACTGAATATTGTGAACATTAAGTAAAAAAACCAGGCAAAAATAAGAGCAGACTTCAAGGGCTGTTGATAAGCATGATTGAAATTCCTAAAGCTTTGAGTTCATTTTTCAATCCAAGAAAGATTAGACTACTGGGATTATGGGTCCTCTAAACCTTGTAACCATTAGTAGAAATAATTAGAATAAACAAACAGAAACCAACTTTTTTTTTTTTATTCACTAACAAAGAGAATATTATTAATGGAATACCAGGGTACTCCAAATCCATTTACACTAAAATACAAACAAATGTAGCTACCAAATCACAAGCATTTCTACAAAGCAAGATTACTGCATAACTACCAGCCACCTCAAATATATATTTACCCCTTTTTCATAACCTCCCCATGCCCAGTACCAACACACTCTCATAACTTTATTTTGGCCTATCCTTCCTTACTGATATTGACTTTAAACAAAACAATGGGTTTTGCACCCAGTTTGAATATATAAAAAATTACAACCCATAACTTTACCTCTGGTCTAGCAAAACATTTTCACTTGAATTAAATAAAAAAGCTTCTCCATACTAACAGGAGAATTTTTATGCAAAATTATAGCAACTTAGAAGACAACAAAACAAAATAGGAAGCATTGTCTTGTGAAATGTTGTTAGGCTTTAGCCTATCTACTTTTTTTTCATTGTTGCTAGGTAGGCTGTGGTCTTCTCGAGGAGCAACAAATTTCAACCATTCTTGACTTCTCTAAAAAGGGTGTATAAAAATACTTTTAGTCCTCCAAAAATGGAATTTCAGGAGGCTTTGTAGACTGGTCTTTTCAAGGAGCCTTGTTGTAATTCTACTCCCAAGGTGACTAAATCTTCTCGATCAACCAACCCTAACCATTATGTGTATTTTTAATTTTTTTTAATAATTTACAATTTGAAGAATAGAGAAGGAGGATTTTTTAAAATGTTGGTAAATTTTAAATTTTAATTAATTAATTTAAATATTTTAAAATTTGAAGATAAATCACTTGAATTTAAAAGTACGATTCTTTCTATTATGTAAATATTTGAAAGGGAAATTAATATAATATAATATAATAGTCTTAAAAGAAAAATAAAATAACTAGAGTGCCCTGTGAAGATATGTTTCTAAGTTTTTTGGAAAATAAAAATTAATGACAACATTCACAGTTTGAATATCTATAAAAAAAAATCTTGAATTTTATATTTTGCTTAAGTTATTGTGTATAATTAGGTTAATTTTTGTGATTTTTGCATTTTTTTCTTTGATTAAAATATTTTTATTAATTTGATATTTAATTAATTAATTTTTCACCCTAGCACATATACTTGAAAATTTTCTATTTTTTGTAGTATATCTCCTCTTCTATTATCTATGTTGTAATACTAATAATAACTTGGTCAAATTAGTATTCACTAATTTAAAAGTATTAATTTGAAGTTAAGATAAAATATTTGAACTTTTATTTTTTTAAGTAAATAATTCTTCAATGTACCAAAAGAAAATTATCTCTATTGTTATTTGGATTTTTCTTTAAGAGTATAGGTTAAAAGTACATTTTATCATAAATATATATAAAATATAAAAACTTATATTAATTTTAGTGTATGTGTCAA